TCAGCCTGGCAGCTAAAGCAGTTATGCTTGGAATGGTCAGTCGTAGAAAAAAACTACCAACAAACTAAGGTGACTGGATATAATCAAAGCCGACACTAGCCAGAACATAAAACCATTTAAAGAGGCTGTACAGGTAGGAAAATAAAGGACTAATTCCTCCCCCCTTTGTATGTTTCATCCCATTTTAATTACTTTTTTTACACTGTAGACATTTTTTACATTTATATTAAAGCAACAGTGGGAATGAAGGCTGCAATATATTTTTGATTAATCAGGTAAAGTATTAACGTACTGCAATATGTTATAGAGTTTCTTATTAAATGTATAGAAAAGGCATCCCTTTTATTTTCCTTGTTTCTGTAACTGTGTATCTGACATAGTTCTTCTTTAATCCAGTTGGGTGGCAGATGTGAATTTGTTTCACATGAAATGGTTTCTTATTTTTTTCACTAAAACATAGGGTTCAAATTGGTTTGAAAACATATTCTTCAATAGGTATATGCCACCGATAACATTGTGCATAGGAAAAAAACCCAAAAAGCCTCCTTCGAGCCGGAATCGAACCAGCGACCTAAGGATAACCACTGTGAATTCACCTACAGTCCTCCGCTCTACCAGCTGAGCTATCGAAGGAATAAAAAGCCTGTTTCGAAAGAGATATATAAGCTGCCAAAATAGAGCGGACTTTGTGTTAACATCATTTTAACCGCATTTGCAGAAAATAAATAAAGCACAGAAACATTCCGGAATCATTTTTTACACCAACCTATGTAATCTGATATATGTAAGAAGCTCAAATCAAATCTAATCAACTCAGTGAACCAATACATTTTTACTATTTTAGATTTTTACAAGAAGCAAGTTCTCACGGAGGGCCAGTGGCGCAATGGATAACGCGTCTGACTACGGATCAGAAGATTGTAGGTTCGACTCCTGCCTGGCTCGAAAGATTTATTTTGCATTTATTTTGACGAAAGCCCTTTAATGTTGATGTATATACATTAAACAATATCCATGAAATATTTTTTTTCCAAATCTGGTAAGGCAAATCTCGAATCTAGTTCAGAACAAACGTAACAGATCATTAGTAACACAGTGCACTGGGTTTAGATTTTTCTCTTCCTAGGAGTCGACTCCTGAATTACTTTAAACTATTTTAAATGTACAAACGGCATATCTCAAATCAGACTGTTTTCTATTGCAATCGCATAAAATAAATTAAATAACTTATAATTTTCTGTTTTCTGTTTAGATACTTTAGCTGTTAATTATTTTGAAAGGATCCTAAAACAGATAAAGAAACATAGGATGTGCAAGCCGGCCATTTCGCTTTGAGTTCCTACAAAGTCTTCTATTCTAGCGCATTTATCTCCTTTAAAAATAGATATTAAAAATACGCTTCGCATTTTTGTCTCTTTTTCTTATGAACCCCATAGACCGGGGCCCTAGTTGTCTCCTGACACGCTCTCCCATTTTGGAGTTGCAGAAACACTAAGCCATGATTTCACCAAAGAAGCCAGCACATTTTCGAAGCACACAATCTTCAGCGCCATCTTGCGATCTCACCGGTTCTTTCGATTTAACAAGCAAACTCTCTTCACGCTCTTTGCGCTCTTTACACTCAGGAACAAAAAACGTCTCAAGGTATTCCTTCGATAGCTCAGCTGGTAGAGCGGAGGACTGTAGAATTATTCATACCGAGATCCTTAGGTCGCTGGTTCGATTCCGGCTCGAAGGAGGGTTTTTTTTATTCTCTTCCATATTTTTTTCTTTGTCACTATTTCTTGAAATTGCCATTCATGCTTTGAGGAAACAAAAATGTATGACCTTGTTTTGGATTTGCTGACGATTTCGGTAGGAAACACAAAGGCGTTAGGAATAATAAGTCACTTTTGCTGCCATTACTTAATAAAACTAAGTTTACTGTCAAACGGATTTCATTTGAGAAGGAGCTTCTCGGGAAAACAGCGAGTTACTAAATTTATAGTAGTAGCACAGTGCAATATTACGCGGAACTCACAAACTTGTGTGTCTGTATATGTGTGAATTAAAGCCCACCTGAAATAATAAACAAACGGAGAATCCTTATTGGCATAAAGTAGTTTTAGATTTATTTCTTCTTTCTATCCCTTTCTCTGCTGGCTACTGTTCTTGCATGATTCTTCATATTTCTTTGGGATGACGGCGATAATCTGTTGCAGCAGCTCCTACATACGTGCCATGCAGAAGAGTTCATTGCTGTGGCACCTATCTCTTCTCAAGCCAGTGCAATTTAATACTGTGTTCTTGTACAAAGCAAACAAAAAATCCATGGTGGGAAAAGATAGCTTATGTTGGAGCATTTTTGTTACTTTAGGAACTGAAGGAAAATGCAATGTTTAGATAAGGAGCATTTTGCTAAGCATCTAACTAATATTATGATCGCCTGAACTTTGGTAGCTCATGTCCACGCATCAGTTGCGCGGACTGCAGGCAAGCCTGAGGAAGATACACGTGTGTGCTTCCACATCCACGCCCACAGAGTCGAGGGCTAGAAAGGGAGAGGAAGAGGAACAGAAATCCGAAGAGGGGAAAAAACCATTCATGAGAAATAGGTAATGAATATACATTTAAACCAAGATATCAGACAAAAGAGCTGTGTTTTCATTTTAAAAGAACAAAAAGGGAGATACTGAAAGGAAGAAGAACGGATAGAGCGAAAAAAGAGTGCTGCGTTAGGCAGAGAAAATGAGGAAGGGAGAAAACCTGATTTAACACCTGCATTGGAGAGTCTGGGCAATTGCGCCACGCAAGGATAGAAACCACATAAAAGGCAACAATGAGAGGAGGAGTGGGGAGAGGGTCACAAACATTGAAATGGGAGCTAGACTTTAAAAAGACTGAACAAAGATTTAGCAGAATCAGAAATTAATGTGATAAATGGGAAATTATTAAATACATGGTGGAGTTAATTGTATTTAATATTTCAATCATTTCAAATTAAATTATTTTCTGTTTTTATCCTGGATATATGGCTTCTTAGGAGAATTGTCTTCCAGGTGCCACTGCAAAGCCAAATAACTCCTTTTAAAAAGACACAGTAGTAGAAGAAAATGATACTGTTCTGAAATTAGAAAAACAATATTTTTTTTTCATGAAAAGGTGGATATTTAGCTTTTATATGGACTTTTTATTCAAGTAATATATTGATCAGCACAAAGTGAAATGCAGTATACAAAGTACATTTTGAATTGACTACCAACAATATCTACACATGTAATTAACATTATAATACTGTACATTTTTCATTTTACAGGATTTGTTTTATATTCCTTGTCCTACTAGCCATGTAACAAAAAGCAAATGCTGTGTTGTCAAATAGCTAATGAATATTGTATGACTTTAGATTATCTAAAATGGAATACATTTGTTCTTGTACAGATTATAGGTCTATATGTTAATTTAGACATCACTAGACTAGTCTTTGATATCCTGACTTTTTTCCTGCTATATTTTTCTGTCATTCTTTCAAAATACTAACTTTCTAGCTTAATTATGTCCATGATTGTTTGGATGTAAAATCCAAGAAATGCATTAAGATTTTATTTCTCAGAAAATATGCATCCCACAGGACAACAGCCATGATTGGATTTGCATTCATCAACTGGAAAACTTGTTCTTTTCCATAAGCACAACTCAGTTCATATCTCATGCTATACAACATAGTCTTTACTACAAAACTGAGCTCTGCTTGAAATCTTTCAATTAAACCATTCTCAAAACTGTTTCTGTGTATACACAACGTAAGTTTTATAAAATGAGGTTGTCTGAATTCACTTTCCACGGAGTAGGATGTTTAAAGTTGGTCTTACTATTTCTGTACAAATTCATATCGTTAAAAGTTTGCTTCACTGTCCTTCTTATAAAAAAAAAGATATAGCATTCCGAAGACTGGGGATAGATTTCCAGCCGTTATTAATCTCTCCTTGATTAAACAAGAGCATAACGATAATAATTGATATGCAGAAGTTAAATCCAAAATGCATGCACAAAATATTGTTTTAAATTTCAAATCTACCTACATTTATCTGAAAATATATATAATTTAACCTTTAAATATAATTCTAAGAGTTAGATTTCAAGTTGGTATCAGAAGCACAGATATGGTATACAGTATTGGTTTTCGGTTACTATACCTGGTAAATTAATAAGTTAAAAACTATTGCAGTGTAGATTTCTGGTTGTAGAGTATTTTGCAAGGAAACTTGAAAATGTCAGATCGAAATCTGATGTATTAATGAATCACATATTCATTGAACAAAAATAAAGTCATGGGCTTTTCAGTTGCTGAAGAGGGGTACGGTAACTTTTCAATTATTTATACCTACAACATATCCAAATGCAAATTGATTTATTCCCTAACTCTGAGTTTTCTGCATTCTGAGAGAGTAGCAGAACTGTGCAATAATTCTCCATGGACAAAACAAACCTATTAACATTATATGTTGTTTTATACATGTATTCTCTGGGGAAAACAATCTACTGAAGGAATAGTAAAAGGAGTATTGCTTTTAAGAAAAATTATATAGGTGAAGAAGCACACTAAGATCAAAATAACTGTAACACTGCAGAGAAAAGTAAGGATGTCAGTCATTTTATACACTTCTAGGACTTCTGAAGAAACACTACTATAACAGCTTTAATGATTTTAAATTCACTAGAGACCGCATGCAAGTATCCAGAATATTAGGGACTTTCTTATATACTATGAGAACAGCATGTTGTGTCTCATCTGCTTCTAGAAATATTGGAAGTGCATGTATTTTAAAAATAGTTTGTTCCTACTATGCTTGTAGCTTGGAAACAATATTATGGTAGAGCATCTTCTCAGAATTAGGGTTCAAGTCAATTTGATGGTACATGGCGTGCAGAGTGTCCTAATATCTTTCATGTTCTAATGATACTTTACAATCCAAAGCTTGTCATTTATATTCCTTCAAATTCTAAGAGCTGCTGATTTATTATTCTGTGCGATAGCTGCGATGACTGTCACCAATAAGCTGGGTTTTCTCAGTTGCATTTGTTGGCTGAAGCAGAACTGGAGCTTCCCCATCTAAAACAGCAAGAATAATGAATTCAATACTTGAGAGCCTTCCATTCTTTTAACAATTATAGGTAGTAAGAAATTACTTCATATTTGGCAATACACCATTATTCCTACATAAGATGCAATTACTGCCTTCCAAATCAGTGATGGAATTAAAAATTTTTTACTACTGGTTCTGTGGATGTGGCTTGGTGGGCACGGCAGGGGAAGATTACTGCAAAATCCCATTCCCTCTCCACCCCACTAACCTGGTTTCCAGCTCCGTTCTCCTGTGCAGAGCAACAGAAGAAGACCCAGCCAGTCAGCTGGGACTTGGGAGGCAGTCAGAGGGGGTATTTGTTGGTTCTCCGAACTACGCAAAATTTCTGCTACTGGTTCTCCAGAACTGGTCAGAACCTGCTGAATACCACCTCTGTTCCAAATATATTGGACTATACCGCCCTTTATCTTCAGCTACCATATTTATCCATGTGTTTTTCTAACACATTTTGGGGAGGGCACCAAGTTGGAGAAGATCACTCTTTACCCAGTTTCCCCTTAAATCAGCTATGTTTAATTCTTACTAAAAAGATCCAAGCAGATGCTTACATTCTCTGTTCAGTTGACAAGTGCTTTAACTACATATTATTGTGAAAATGTATCTAGTTTTAAGAAGTGAAAAGCTTTAGAGCTAGAATTCTTTCTATTTTCTTATTTCTTGTCCATTTCCAAGATAGACTTCTCTTTAATTCCTTCTGCACTTTCTTTGTTCCTACCCAACTCAATTAGCACATTCTGATCCTCTTTCAAAATCCAGTGCTCTACAGTACAGGAAAATCCTTCAGCCTACTAAATATCATTACATAATTTCATTATCTCCAAATTGTCTATATGCTTATTTAGACAGAAGATGAAGTACTGTTATTTAAAATAACAATATAGAACTAGGCAGAATAGGCAAGGTTTGAGAGCACTAAATACAAGGGATTTCACAATTATGGTTTGAATCACCTGTTAAAAAATATACCTATCTAAAAGAAAGCTATTCCTAGGAATTCAGAAAGATTTGAACTTGGACATTTAGTAGTGGAATAGGCATTTATGATATGCTCCAGTCTAACTAGAACTATTGAATTCCTTTGCCAAACAATAATGGCACAGATTCCCAGTTTTGTGTGAGAAACTAGAAAATTGTAGTTTGACTCACAAAATATGCTTAACACAGTTTAAAAACAGTGATTGATTCCCATGCCATTTTCCCAAATCCTGGCTGTTTCCGTTTTACTTCATTTTCTTACCAACTGTTGCCTTTATCATCCCCAAAATGTTATGCCAGTCTCCTTGAAATCCTATGTTTCTCAGCTCTAGCCTAGGAAGTTTTATAAATAAAATAAAATTGCCATCTGGGCTTCATTTGTTTTAACTCAGATGCCATGTGAGACATTTAAAATTCTTTAGAAGTGTATATATGCATAAAACATGGATGCATATTGTCAGTGGACAGTTTGCACATTCAAGAAATAATCCTGTGATAAAGAACAGATTTCCAACTGCCCTGCAAAGAGTTCAATATTTCAATCAAGAATATTGTTTCAACTACCATACATTTGCAATGGATAAAATTCATTTTCTTTCCATTGTTTTTTCAATTGAAATGACACACCTCTCCTCAAAGCATATTGGCTATTATATATTCACAAGCGTTGACAAAACTGATTCTCCAGAATAAAAATCACCAACATTTTCACCATGCCTAACTAAATAGCTTGATATTTGAATAGATTTGCTTGTAGGTGTTCCCTCCAAGGTTCCAAGTGTATTAGAATATGTGATAGCGTTCAGGAAGTCCTCGACTTACAATCATTATTTAATGGCCATTCTAAGTTATAACAGCACTGAAAAAAGTGACTCATGACCGATTTTGTTAAGTATGATTGTTGCAGCATCCCCATGGTCACATATCAAAAATTTGTTTCATATTTATGACGGTTGCAGTGTCCTAGGGTCATGTAATCATAAAATGGGCCGCAACTCACTTAACAACTGTCTTGCTTAACAACAGAAATGTTGGGCTCAATTGTGGTTGTGAGTCAAGAAACCCTGAGGTTCACTTGATGGAAGCGTTAACAAGAGACGGAACTTTTCTTTTAAAGGGCTTTTTGTGTTTTGCTGATGTTTGTTGGGTTAGGAGATCAGGCACCTGAAATTTTACTCTTTTGACATTTTAGTTGTATAATCAATAAAGTTTTTTTTTAAATAAAAAGATTCATTTCTGATTTCAGAATCTGTTTATGAATAGGGTTTTTTTAAATGCAGTATTCTATTTATCATGTTTCTCATCTAAATGCTTCCTTCTAAACCTCACATTAGCATTATAAAGGAAACATTATTAATTTATCAATTTTCTACTCTGCTTTATCTTTTGAAACAATCCTGAATCTCCTGTTTCCTTTGCAGTGCAGCTAGTAAAATTAGTATTATAACAATTATTCTGCACATTTAAAAACTGATAGTTACTATACTTTTAACTTTATAAGTAAGAAGGCAGTAAAATGGGACCCAATTATTAAATAGCTGGGAAAATAATGTATGCCGCAAGAATAGGAACTGGGGAGACAGCATCCCAAAGTAAAACTGAAATAAGATCCCAATGCAATTCCATTTGGCACTGCTTCACTTAACACTAAGTCGCTGATCCTAATTTGGTCACTAAACAAGGGCTACCTGTATGACAAACAGCCTCAAACAACATAATACCTAAACCAACACAAGTCTGAGAATTGTTGCCTAGTTAAAACCTCCCACTCATTGCTGTAATGGCTCATTGTCCTGTTTATGCTCAGTTAGTCAGAGAAGGAAAATTTGACAGAGGAAGAAAACTTTTAGTGTGCCTTTGTAGTGGTAAAGTCCTCTCCCTGAGTCTATCACTAGTGGCTTTCTATTCTTACTTTCATAGCAGAAGGAAATCAACCATTCAATTTCTATCATTTAATGGCTGCTTTCTCTGCGTGAGAAGCTGGTCAGATTATTATTATTTAATTATTTCATATATTTATTACTGCTAAAATTTGGGCAGAGGCTTTGCATATATTATACCCACACACTCATACAGGTCATGGTGCCTGCCCCCCCCCCCCCCCAATAAATTTGGGTCCAACTTAGTCCTATTTAAATGAATATTTAACACCTGGCTTTGAATCAGAGAAGTGGATAGATAGATGGCTGTGTGATACTAAATGAATGTTGATTTTTCCCCCCATACTTTCTCTTGATGACATAATTCTTTGTTTTTACTGTTTTTTTTAATTATTGCATTTGTGACCTGCAGAGTTGTAGCAGACTTGAGTGGTCTATAAATCTTTTAAATGGACCCACACATAATAGACACACATTCAAACATATACCGTATACATTTATAACCCTTCTTTATTTATAAAATGCATTTACCACCCATCTTGCTATCATATAATTCTGGGTGGCATATGGCTAAAGTTCTTATGTAAATCAGACTCTTCCTTTCCATACTTCTTCACTCTACTTCATTTTACACTGAAAATAATAATATTCTTCTCCTTTTAGTGCTCTATAATCCAGTAGTTATAACTTCTACCCTAGAAATTAACTAATCACATAGAAAGAAATCAGGATATTAATCAATTACCACCTGCTGAGCTTTTAAAGTGACCTGCACTGTAGTTTGAGAGGAATTCAATTAACACTTCTTTGTATAGGATGTCCTTTCTCAAATTAAGATACCCAAACCTGATCAGTTGGAATAAAGCCCTTGGGTATTATTTTGAGAAAGTAAGAAGGGGTTTCCCCCCCTCTTTTTTGTTTGGTTAAACAGTATCTATGAGTCTACAATAGCAGGTACCCTTTTCCATGTCTGTCTTGATTTGCTCTTCCAGATCTTCAGGAGACATGCAGAACTCTTGCTCTTCTGCCGTGGGTTTGGGCTTGCATTTTCCACAACAGCAATTGAAACAGCAGCACAGGCAGCAACAACAGTAGCACCCAGTCAAAAGACCACAAAGGGTGAACAGGCCCTTAGAGAAGCAGAAAAGAAAAAGAAAGGTATTGAGAGAGAGATCGGAATAGAGAAATAAATACCTTTCTGGCTTGATTTAGGAAAAAATATGAGTTGACCACAATGGTTTTAAAGGAGTCTTCCAGGGTTGACCAAAGTAGTGTTGATACCCAAGAAACCGTATGGGCACTGATGTGCCCTGTTGCTGAAAGAAAGTCAATGGCTTTGACATCAGTGACTTGCTTGTCCTTGCTTCTGGTGTGTGTGTGTGTGTGTGTGTAAGAGGGTGGGAGTGCTTGATTAAAGGGTCACCCTATAAACTTAACACTTTTTAAAACTAAGTGGAACTTGCAGGTTCAGAGGAAATTGACTTCTGCATGTTGGTTGCTGTAAAGACAAGGTGAGATACAGTAATTCTACTGCCAATACGGTAGAGGCCATCCGAATCTCAGAGACGTGCTCTTCCATAAGGGAGTAGCTTCTTACAGTCCACCACAAGACACTGCTTTACAGATAGGAACCAGAGCATTCTCAGTCTGCTTGATTTGGTGAGCAGACAAAAACTATTGGGAAGAAGCAACAAGTAATTTCACTCCATGCCATGTGGGGTGTTAAAGATGATGATTAGCACTTTGAATTGCCCTTGGAAGCTTATTGGGAGCCAATGCAGCTCATATAGCAGTAACATTATGTGATGTTCCATTCAAGACCCAATACCGTATGTGTCACTGAATTCCAGAATAACTGCAACTTCCAAATGCACTTACAAACTCTTTAATTGGGAGTGACTATGGCACGAGACACTGTGAATAGTCCCTCTCAATCTACAAATGGCTGCAACTGGTGCCCGAGATGTAATTGTGCAAAGGTCTTCCCTATCACAATGGCCTGTTGAAGCAGGAGCCACACATCCAGGAGGACCTGTGCACAGATTGTGTGAGGAATGTAATCCCACCTGCCACTAATGATGGAGACTCACTAGATATGGGGGACTTACAGTTACCTAAGGTTTTGTCAACATTGAGTTCGAGCTGGCTCTTCTCTATCAATACCTGCATGGCCTAGAGGCATTGGGAAAGTACCTCAATGATATCACTTGGACAGCCAAGGACAGAGATGTATGCTGAGTACTGATGTATTTAACCCTTTGCTAATGAACGACCTTGGCCAATGGTTTCATGTAAATATTAAACAGGAATAAATCAGTGGCCATTGGCTTGATTCCCCCCCACCATTTTAATTGGAACCAGCATTGTACAAAGAAGAACCACCAACAAATGTGCACTGTTCTCCCTATTGTCTCTGCTGGTCCAAAAGAATATAATGATCAGTTATACTAAAATTGAAAGATCAAGAAGAAACAGGGTGGATATATCATCCCTATTCTGAGACGGCCAGAGGTCACCCATAAGCACAAACACAATCAGTATCAGTATATATTTTGGCCTGAAGTTTAACTGCAGTGGGGCCAAATAATCAGCTGCTCCCAGCTTCTTTGGAGTTGTAAGCCTGCCACCTTCTCAAGAACCTTCTCCCAAAAGGGAACTGGCCATGAATTCTCAAGCCATTTCTAACTCAGGATCAAGTGATGAATTCTCCTTCACCCAGCTGCAGAAATAAGCAGCTCAGGCCACAATCGGTACTCTCTCTCCCTAGAACTTCATGTTCAAATTATGAATGAGGAACTTTAATTTTAATTCCCCCATAGCAATTACTGTATTAATCACTGTTTTTCTTTTTACAGATTTCAGATGCACACAAAACATACCAGAAACCTGGATGGAGAGAACTAAAAACTCCAACCTTCCTTTATGTGTGGAGTGGGAGTTTGTTATTTCAGGTGTTATGATGCTTAGGGTGGCAAGGATTAGTTGAACTGCCTTTTCTGCACTCTCCTGCATGGAGTGATGATTATTCATGTATTTTCTGCCTGTTCTTAGCATCTCAACATCTGCAGAAGTGAAGAAACGAAGTGAAAATAAAAGATATAGAGAGTAGAACAACACGCATGGAGTCTAACTTTGAAAGGATGGATGAGGAATTTAAAAATGTACTTAGAGAAACGGAAGACTCTCTGATCCACCTCGAGATGGACAAAGCAATGGCGTATTTAAGATTCCAGAATGTGGCGGAAGCCAAAAATGAAGAATTGGAACATTTGATGGCAGAAATATTGGCTGAATGGCTAGGAAAGGAAAAAGATGATCTAATTAAAGAGTTTGATGAGGTATATAGGGTTAGCACAAGCTACGCCAGGCGTAACAACTGTCCAAGAGAAATTCATATCCGCTTCTCTAGGAGATGTCTGAGGGATTTAATTTTGAAAATGTCTAGGGAGGAAACAATATCATATAAGGGCAGAGAAATTAGGATTTTAAAACAAATTCCAAAGAGAGTGAGGATGATAAGACAAGATTATAAATTTTTAGCTAATGATTTAAATAAAGAAGGAATCCATTTTAAATGGTTAATCCCGGAAGGGATGTTAATTACATGGAAAGAGAGGAAAATCAAAATAGAATCGATAGAACAGGCCCAAGTTTTTCATCAACAGCTCACAGATAAGAATAGTCAACCCACCAAAGAAGAACCTAAAACAAGACCACAGGAGGTCCGATATTATCACAGAACCCAAAAGGAACGACTTTCTCCAATTTCAAGAAGTGATAATCCACAACATGGGAGAGAAGAGCAAATCCCACAACAACAACAACAAGAGAACCGAATCATTACTAGGCAAAAATCTAAGCAGAAGTAGATAAATGGTGGAGGGGAAGAAGTTGCTCTCCATCAATATAAACGGATTAAATTCATTATTAAAAAGAAAAAGGATATTCTCAAAACTTATTCAACATAACGCAGATATAATATGTCTTCAAGAGACACATATTTCGAAGAATGATGAAAGATATCTAATTTGTCCAAAATTAGGTAAACTTTTTACAGCACCGGCCGACCAACACAAGAAAAAAGGAATTGCAATTTATGTAAAACAAGATGTAAAGGCAGAACTAATCTGGTCGGATCCCGAAGGAAGAACTCTGGTTATACAAGTTTGGATAAACCACATCACATTTTTACTTGTAGCAATCTATGCCCCAAATGATGACCAGGGGAAATTTTTTAAACACCTTCACCAAAAAATAGTAGGCTTTGAAAAAAGAAACATTTGCTTGATTGGCGATTTTAACTCCATTGCAGACTACCAGAAAGACCATAGTAATATGGGGAAAAACAAGAAGGGGAAAAGGGAACTCTCTGCAGCATGTAAGGAAATGTTGAGAGAGTTAAATTTAAAAGATCTATGGAGGGAACGGAATCTTGAAGGAAAACAATTTACATATTATTCTAACCCACATAAGATTTGGACCAGAATAGATATGGCTTGGATGGATTTGGACTTGGCTAATGAAATAAAAGAAATCAAAATTCTACCGAATGAATGGGCTGATCATAACCCAATACAGCTAATTTGGAGGGATAGGAGACGAATAAAAAAAAGATGGACACTAAATAACCAAATTGTAAACGAAGAAGAGTATATTAATAAACTGAAAGAGGAGCTAAATTATTTTCTAAAAGATAATAATAATGAAACAACTTCAAAACAGAACATTTGGGATACTATGAAAGCAATTATAAGAGGCACAACAATTTCCTATAATGCTATGAGAAACAAGAGAATTTATGCCCAACAAAACGCGTTACAACAACAAATCCAAGACTTAGAAACACAATTACAAAAAACCCCTAAGACCCAAGGACTACAAAATCAGTTAATACTAGCCAAACATAAGCTGAATTTAATTGAACAAGATAAATTAGAAGTTAGCTTGAGAAGGTCCAAACAAAATTATTTTGAACACGCCAATAAACCAGGAAGATGGCTATCTTATAAACTTAAAAAAGAAAAAGAAAAGAGATTGATACACCAATTAATAGATGAGAAAGGCATCCCACAACATGAGATTGAGAAGAAAAAGGATATTATATTAAACTATTTCCAAAGATTATATAAAAAAGAAGAAATCAATGAGGATAAAATAAGAACTTATCTGGAGAATACGAATGATAAAACAATAGGGGAAGGAGACAAAGAATTACTAAATAAGGATATTACATGGTCTGAGTTAAAATCTGCAATGGAAAATCAATGTAATAATAAATCCCCTGGTCCAGATGGGATTCCAGTAGAATTATATAAAGCCACATTAGATTTAGTAGGGCCTCTGATGCTGGAAGTGTTTAATGAAGTACTTTCGGCTGCCAAAATGCCAGACTCATGGAGGGAGGCGTTGATTGCGTTAATTCCGAAGGAGGATGTGGATGCCAGATATATCAACAATTATAGACCAATCTCACTTTTAAATGCCGATTATAAATTATTTACCTCAATTATTGCGAATAGAGTAAAACAAGTTTTAAATTTATACATTCATGAAGACCAAAATGGTTTCCTTCCATTCCGCCAAATTAAAAACAATTTAAGAACCGTTATTGACGTCTTAGAATATTATGAAGCTCATCCAGAGAAACAATTTACACTCTTGTTTCTAGATGCGGAGAAAGCATTCGATAACTTACATTGGCACTTCTTAATACAAAAAATCTATAACATGAATCTGGGCACTAAATTCGAGAATATTATCACAACAATTTACAATACCCAACAAGCCAATATACTAATTAATGGTGAACAAACAGGCCCACTAAGCATTGAAAAGGGCGTTAGACAGGGTTGCCCTCTCTCACCCCTCTTATTTATATTTGCTTTAGAATCATTGTTAACGCGGATAAGACAAAATCCTGAAATTCAAGGGGTTAGGGTCAAGGCAGAGGAATATAAATTACAGGCGTTTGCAGACGATATGGTTTTCTTCCTAGAGGATCCCATGGAGAAAGGACATAATCTAATAAAAGAACTAGAACAATATGGTTCAGTAGCAGGACTAAAGATCAACAGAAATAAGACGAAATTACTGACTAAAAATCTAACAGAGAACCAGAGGAAAGAATTAGAAAAAACCATGGGGATACAGGCAACAAAAAAGGTCAAATATTTAGGCATATGGTTAACACCACATAGTAAATCACTCAAAGAGAATAATTATGATAAACTGTTACAGCAAATTAAGAAAGATCTAGAATCCTGGAATAAGTTGCAGCTTTCTTTACTGGGCAGGATTGCCACAATCAAAATGAACATTTTAATATTGTCTTATCCAAAGGCTCTTATAACTAGAAATAGCAGTGAGAATAACACATAAGGTGTGAAATCTGGCAGTTTTTGGATGCCTGAGGCCTAATTTGTTTGGTCATACTGTGATGGAAATGCTAATGTATGTGATAGGTATAAATGCCAAATCTTTACAGTTACATAACAAACAAGATGAGTAAGATTTTCAGTGTCATCCAAATTGCAAGATCAATTTTTCCTGGGTCAATCCATTATGTTTTGTTCCAGAAGGTCCTCCTCAAATCTTCTACTTCCTTTTTCCAGCCCTTTTACAAGATACTTAAGGTATGCCATAATGATAAATAGTGTTACGTATTATTACTTACGCATACACTACGCCATATATATCCCAAAATAGGGATAGGTTTGTACTTTAATAACTGATTATCTGGTTGTCACACCAAGAAGACTTTTCTCTTTGAAAAATGAGTCATTTTCATTTAGTCATTTCTGAGAAAAAAGTCAAAATTAACCTGGAGCTTTAGCTTCAGATATAATTAATGTCTTCAGGCAATTAAATGTGTATGCAGCATAATTAATTAGCAAATAAAAGAGACGGATATTTCATTTAATAAGCTGCCATGACATCAAAGTTCTTGAGAACCTTTCCTAGATTAACTGATCTAAAACTCTGCAAAGCTTAAGTGAAAATTCTGTGAAAACTGTAATAGAAAGGCCAAAATAGATGATGATAAACCAATAACTGGGTGTTTCAGACTCTGGTCTACCAGGGTTTGCAGTTAAATACTTACTTTTGCCCACCAACTAGAAAGCATGAAATATGTATTGACATTTTCTTCACCAAACTGTTCAGCAATGTACAGCCCTAATGATCCATATTGGTCGTATATATTTCTTTTGGACGCATCTGTTAATATTGCATGAGCGTTGTTAATTTCTTTAAATTTTTCTGCAGTCTCTGGGTTATCCGGGTTCTTATCAGGATGATATTTCAGGGCCAGTTTCCTTTGATAGAAAAGAAAAGGGTGAAGGGCAAAAAAAGGGATGAAACAAGACAATGTCTTTCTTGAGAAGAATGTATAATCCTCCTAATGTTAGATTTAGATCCCTCGTAAATAGAGGGGGGAAATAATAGCTTCATAGTGTTACTTTATGCATGAAATAATTGTTCAATATTCTAGCTGTCATTTTTTTCTCACTTTAATGTCTTATTTTATTTCTAATGTACTTGTCCAAACTGTCATTTTATTTTTAGTTGGTCTTGATAAAATCACAAGCCCATCCCTTTCTTTTATTCCAAAATTCCATTTGGCATTGTAAAGATATCCCAAGGTTGGAGAAGGAAATGTTTACAATTTTAAAAATATGTTTATAAAACCAAAATTCTGTTCTGAAATTTTATTTCTTATGGAAAACAGCATTGATATATTTCATATCTAAACATAATAATTTTGCTTTTTTATTTTGTCTGAATCTAACAATGCATTTTTCAATCATTATAACAGATATTTTGAAGATTCTGTTGCAGACCAAAGCGAATTGAAAGCATGGGTGTAACAGCTTGTTCCCACAGCCTTTCAGAACTTTCAATGGCATCGAAAATTAGTTATGCAAATAAAGTTTGATGTTAAAATTCGTACAAGTCTCCCTCTTATAAAAATATGGCATTTACATTGCTACTTCACTAGCTCTCTAGTTCGTTTCGGAATGAGGCCATAGATTTTATCCAGAGTTTTTGCCTTAGTAACAAACTTGGAGCAACTGCCTATACAAAAAAAGCAAGAGAGATACTAACATGGTAAAAAAAAGAATAGTAAGTTTCATCTTGTTAAAAAAATCGTTAAATAACAAATTTCAGATCAACACAGTAGAGAAATACACATACAAACACACATACAAAAACATCTTTAGTCTCAGTTCCCTGACTGGATTTATTTGAATGAATTATATTTCAAATTATGAAGGTTTTTTTTTTTTTTGTGGCGGAAGGGGGGAATCACATAATGTACAAAGTCAAACAAATGGCATTATATCCTAGCATCACATATGAGGCCAGCTATAGTGGGAGCACCATAATTAACTACTATTACATGATAGCATTGTATAAATAAATCCATAAAAACTGTGCTTAAAATCCATAAAAACCATGTTCAGAGTTTCATATTATGTTAAATAGAAATTGGATATCCAGAAGTTTGGAAATAGTGAATGTATTCAATCAGATACATTTGGAAAAGCATCAGATTTGTTGTATCTGTATATTATCAAAATATGGACACGTGTAAAAAATAACGCATTCTTGGAAAATCAGCGGGAATTGAAAGAATTCTTCACATACAAATAGTTTTAAAATGTATTTTAAGATCCAGATTGGATCTTGCAGTTTTAAAATGTAATAATGCTTGCATTTTTAATGTCATGACTGAATGTGGCTAATTGTTCTGAAGGAATCCTATTTCAAATACTTCTGACTATATGTGTATTCAAAACTTGAGTAGGGAAATGTTAACATGTTAAATGAATCTAATTGTGTTATTTTTGTAAGTTTTAATTTTTATATGAACAACATTACAAATATTTTGAATACGATATTATCAAATAAAATAATGGAAATGGAAATGGGCTGGTCACATAGCAAGAAGTACTGATGGCAGGTGGACTAAGGCAGTCATAGAATGGATCCTACTTGATAAAAAGTGTCCACAAAAGAGACCTAAAACAAGATTGACAACATCAGCAAGTATTGTGGGCCCAATTGGCAAAAGAAAGCTCAGGACCATATTGGTTGGAAACGTGCAGAAGAGGCCTTCATCCTGCAGTGGATAGATAATGGCTAAAACGATGATGGTGATGATGATCATGATCAAGATACCCACAGTTAACAAAGGCGACCAAGATAGGCAGTTTAATTATTGACACTGTTGCTTAGAAGACTTAACTATGCTTGTGTGTTCGCTTGTAAACTAGATATTACTTCGTTACTTTTTTAAAAAAAATCACACAGCACTGATCTTGATAGAATGCTTAACAGAACTTGGAACTCATAGGAGGCAGCGAAAAAGTTAAGGGATGAAACGAAGGCTATAGAAGAGTTTGATTTGAGGGGGAGGAGGGATGAAAAAAGCACTCAGTAACTGCAGTAGGTATTAGTTATTTAGAAAAATCAGTCTGGGAAGTTTTTGAAATCAGTGACAACGCTACTTCACCAGTCCATTTCTGAATGGATATATAATTGTTCTTATTGGGCTCCTTCCAAATTGTTAAATAGATCAGGAATGGAAAGCCCTAGAGCAGGGGTGTCAAATTCATGTCACGGCAGTGTCATGATGTATCACAACTTTTTATCCCTTTGCTAAACCGGATGTGGGCATGGCAGTGTGACATGTCCAGCCCTTGGGCCATGAGTTTGACAGCCCTGCCCTAGAGTGTCAAAATCCAGGATTAGAAGAAAGAAGATGGAAGGAAGAAGAAGAAGAGGAGGAGGAGGAGGATTAGACACAAGGAATTTGTCTAATTTGTCATTAGTTTATGAATCTATAGGTTTCCTGAATCACTTCTTGATTAGTTTCATATAGTGCTGGGCAACCATTAGATAATCCAGGGGTGGGGTGGAGATAGTGTTTCATGGTTTCCTGAACAATGAAGGTAAAGCAATAAATCAAAATGTATGGAATTGTATCTTGTATTCAAAAGGACCAGGATATTCCACTGGAGCAGTGTAGGTAGAAATGGGAGGATTGGATTATTTTTAAAGTTCATATTTTAGATCTATACTTCAGATTGTTCATGTCCCCATCTCAAAATAAAAGGAAACTACATTCTGTAAGACAGACAGATGGGCTCCAGAGCTCATGAAAAAGAGTATCAGGGTTGGCATGCAGCACTAGGATTGGAAGTTTAGCCAAGTTACTTGTGCTACTGAGGGGAAGTAGGGAATGGAAAAGTCGTTTGTGGGGTACAGGACATTTGTACAAATTAGTTGTTTCCTTTTTTGCATCCTCTGTGGGTCAATGTGCCCTAGCAGTGTTCTCTAACTCAAAGCAGGTCAAGTCTTAATGGGAAAACATGTTAACTCTTTTGCAGATAAAATGATAACAAAATGAAAAAGAAGCATGTAGTGGTACCATGTTGATGACATTTAAAACATAGATGGTTATGTTCTGGCAAGCACCAAGCTAACTAATAACAATAGGAAATTTGAAGTCAGGTATTCTATGATTATTATACTGCATTGTCAAGTGCTTACTTCAGCAGCAGGTTTTTAGATTCATGAAGCAAATTAACATAAGTTAAAGGATCAATTAAATGAAATCCAAGAGTCTGACTCATCATTTTGTCTTGCAAGTATTTACAGCAATTCCATTAAGTGTGAATCCCTTTGATATTTCCACTTTATTCAGAAGCAGCCTTTGTTTTTACCATAATTGCTAATAAAGATGGATAAAACACCACTGTCAGTTTTGCCATAGATTGTTATGTAAATTATCACTATTCATGTACAGGGCAAAATGAAATTCAGTTCACTTTGCATTCTTCCATGACAACTCTCCCCTTACGGGATTAGAGAAACTTTTTCTTCTCTTCCACATGGAAAAACAACATTGAGCATTCAGATATGGTTACCAGTTTCAAGGATACATCTGATTGGTAGCCAGCAAGGAAAACCAGTAGCCATTATTGGAGTCCTAAATTTTCAGAAACTCTTCCAGAAGCAAGAGAACTCTGTTAATTCCCAGCCAAAGCAACAAAAAACCCTGAAGGTGCCATAAGATTTCAAATTTGAACGGGTAAAGTATATGTTGTTTTAATGCAGCAGAGGGTTATAGAGGTTGTATTATTAAGAAATGGCACCAGCTTGTGTTTTATGCCAAGCCTGTGTAGTGACTTGAGGGAATGGATTACTTGCACACAGAATCATGGAAAGTAAGGGTTAGAAGCAACCTGGAGATAATTTCATTTGGTGGAGGAACCCATTGCTACAGTATTCCTAACATAATTTATTCTGTCTCTATTTAAACATCTGCATCCTGGAGCAGCCCTATGCATTCCACATTTCCCACCCTCCTTCCTGATCCTTATCGTCTAGCTTGTTTTCCTCAGGACTTTTTGCATTTTATCAACGCATTACCTTCCTAAAATGTGGTACCTGCATCCAGTTTAAAACAAAACATTTAGCCTTAATGTGGTGATATATTTGATGAATCAGACTAAGCCAATAGTCTGGTTGCCACATTGTGTTGCCCTGTAAACTACCCAATATCCCACTTCAGTCCATTGAGAGCTGTGAAAAGAAAATATTTTGGTACCATGCTTTTAACAGTGGACCTTGCTTTTGGCTGGTGTCCTGTGATTTTATCTTATACGTACTTTATATCTAGTCATTCTGACGGTGAAGAACTGGTACTCAAGAATTCTTGGGTTTTTTAAATCCTTCCCAGTGCTTTCTATCTATTAATTTTTGGTGCAAAATAGTTTTAGGTTCAAACCATTTGAAAGTTTAAATTTTTAAATGATTTGAATTCCATATTCTTGGATTATTACTTAATAAGCAAAATATTGTTATCATTAATTTACCTCCTACACATTATAACATTCAAATTGTAAGAAGACTGATGTATTTATTGAGGTAAATATAAATAATTTAAGAAATGTTTAAGGTGAAAATATATTTTAATCATTTGTAGAATGTAAGCTTCACATAATGATGCGTTTATATTATGAATACAATTTCATGTTAACTCTTAAATATTTCTTAATTAGGAATTGTTAAAAATTCATTCTTAGATATATATTTATATAATGCAAATATTAGTTGATGCATTATTTGAATTAAATTTGCACAACTTTAATCTTCGGTCTTATAAAAGTGGCAAATTCAGTGTTTACATTAAGATTTTTCATTTGCAACAACTGTTTTCATAACAAAGGCGAGTTATCATAGCATCAATAGCCATTTTGTTTTTGTTTTCATTTGAAACATAACTGATACTATTATAATCCATTGTCCTAAAATGAAATATTTAAGCATGTCCAGCCCTTAAAGCAGTCAATTCACATTCAGCCCTTGAGCTTCAACCCTCAAACACTGGACAAAATAATCTGAGTACCTCTGGAAATGGTTGAGGTAAAAGAAGGTATTGATATGTTTTAGAATAGATATAAACAAATGTGAATGGGTAGGTAAATTTGTGGGTACTTATCAAGTATGTTAGATTTTCATAAATACCTGTAACTTTTCTTGATTTCATCATGAGATGCCCCTTTTTCAAGACCCAGGAGTTCATAGAGTGCTTCTCCTGATGTAGATAAATTTCTCTGTCTTTGCTCAGCCATCTTATCAATGCATTTTCAAGAACTCTAATGTGAAAAAAGGATATCCAAGAAGAAATGTTTATTATTGGTTAAGGAAACTCTGAAAGGGCTCCATATCTCATATTCTATTTCTTATGCCTCGACTGGTGGAACATAGATGATCCAGTGTACAATGTGGCAAGCCACCTGCCTCTTAAGTGTGTGCAGCAATATAGGCAACAGTTTGGTTTTGAACCATTCCATAAACACAGTAGCTCCGCCCAGTTTCTGACTCATTCCGTTGCTATGGCATGAACAGGTTAGCTCTTCCTTTCCGTCCATGCGTTGCTGCGAAGTTTGAAAGATATTTCCTAATTTTATCTTTCATCTCATTTATTTTTGACATTTAAGGAATTAATTGCTGAATCCCATTAGTGGTGCCAAAGAAGTATGATTGTCTTGATTTTAAGATTGGAAAGTTACTGATTTAGAAGTATAACCTGAGCAATAATCTGGGATATGGCTGCTTGCGTGCTTGCTAATTTACTTATTTATCCCTGCAGTCAGGACAGGCATGTAGCCTATGATTTTATGCTTAAAAATCAAGCCATATATACTTAGGATATTAGCACTGGATGCCAGAAGCAGCTGATAACAATGTGATCTCACAGGTTTACAACCAGTCTTTTGCAAGGTTGTGCTTGTGTTTCACTTTAGGGAATTGCCCATTAATTGGTTTTAAAGATAAAAGTTGGGCACTGGAAATATCTTCATTACACATACATTCAATGCCTTGCCTTTTCTTTCTTTTATTAGTCAGTGAAAAGCAGAATCATGTTTCAGTTTATAAATTTTTAATGGATTATGTTACATTAGATATTCAGATTGTAATAAATCAATTTTTCTTGTGATATTCAAACAGTAAAGCCTCATGTCATGCTATCTACTACTGTTTTTTGAAATCAATAAATATTACAACTTATATTCATAATAACTTGAGAAAAGTCTCTCCATTTTAGTGGTAAATATATTGTTTTACATTTTACATTTCTTTTCCCAACAGCATTTTTGAAACAAATATACAAACATAAAATTGCACATGCTTTACTGATACTGATTTTATCCAGAGGAAGTTAATGTCTCAAGAGAAATAACATTGAAAGACATCATTAAGAGAAATGAGTATCAGTTTTTTTCCTATCATAAAGACGAATGGTCATTTCAGGTCTCTTAATTATTAAGTTGCTGGCTTCACTGCGTGGTGTTAATTAAGAATAATGTATCTGCAATATGCTAAACACTTGAGTAACATGGGGGCTAGAGTTGCTATCAATGAAATTAGAGAAAACAGGTTCTACAACACACAACAGTAAAAATCAGATAGATACTTTTAAAGACAGTATTATTCATTGTACTTTATATAAAACTACCTATGACACTTGTATAATTACTGCTTTATTTAACATAGTGTTTCCCTATTGTTTGACATAATCTGAGTTTCTGAAACCAATAGATTTTATTCCAAACACAAAAATGATAGAAAATTAAGAATGCAGTTGGAAATTAATTTTATGGTTGAATCAAGTTGGTATAACAATAACAAAAAGATGCATAGGTTATTTTATGCACAATTGCAACATTGTGTACATCTACACAAAAATAAGTCATAGTGAATTTGATAGTTTCTTCTAGCTAAGAATGCATAGAATTACATGGAAAGACAACAACCACGGAAGTTAGGTCTACTAAACCTCTGTGGAACTTCTCTCCAGTTAAACTTGCATGGCACTGAATGTCACAGCTTCAATCTCACACTGGTTTTATTAGTTTCAAGCAGCCTGCAGTTATTTGTCTAGTTAGAATCCATCCATTAAAACACAGATTGTTAATTATGGGCAATAATGCAGTAAAGCTATATAGATATCATTTAATTTGGGGAGGAGACAACTATGTTTAAATTATTTTGATGATAAATTCAGTGGTACTGTATTTATATACATATCCTAATCCATTTTTAAGTTTACTCTGAAGAGAATCAGAGTCCATTGTCATTACTCCCAAGACTATATACAAGGATTCCTAATCTTACATGCAATATCAACTGTAATAACAATTCTACATTTACTATTCTACATTACATCAAAATAAAATGGGAAATAAATAAAATAATCTCATGTACAAAATATTAAGCCTTATTACTAAAACTGGAATAAATAGCATCTTATTTGTATTTCTGTGTAGAAAGTACCTTGATTTGTGCGTATAGTTCTAAAACAAATGAAAACATTCATAGGCACAGTTAAAATATTCCCAAAATTCCAAAACTTACTACATTTTATAAGCATATTACTATTTGTTTCTACTAAATACAAAAGAGGTAAGTTCTAGAAAAAGGGAGAATCCATACCTGCTTCTGAAACAGAAGTCTTGTATATGTACAATATATATATTAATGCCCTGAATTAGCAAGTTACTATAGTGGTGATTTTTAAAATATAAAAGAATCAGTTTTAAACAATAATTAGACAAAAATGAAATGCAAAATGCAATGGAAAGCGAAACACCTCTGTATTTGAAAAGCTTCTACAGAAAGAAGCTGTTTTTCTTCCTTCACCAATGGAGGTTAGTGGCATCTGGTTACTTTTTGTTGCTCCAATATTCCATTGGTTGTCCCTTCTGTAGGCTAGTGGAAAGGTGAATTAAAGATTAATGAGTGCACAGGTTGCTATAGCACAATAGTCAGTGATACCAGAGAGATCAGGGCATCCCAGTCTTATTATGCTTCATTCTCAGCTCTGCTTTGCTTTGCCTCCATCAGTGTTGTTGAGCTTATTTGAGAATTAATGTTTCTTTGTAATATCTATAAGCAATGAAGTTTTCTTAAAGAATTAAAAGTTTAAAACAAACAAACAATAGGGAAGAAGATCTTTCTGCCCAGAACATTTAGGAGATAACAGAATCCTGTTGACATGTTTTCACATCTCATGAATGGGATATGATCTCTAATTGGACTTTAATTTCAGTAAGGATGCTCAAATATATATATTACTTTCAGTACTATGAGTAAGATGTTTCTATATCCAAAGGTAGGGTAACAATTCTTAACTGGTAATTGTTATTAAGCTTGTTACATATTATCAGAACAGTTGCAGGAGTCTTTAGAGGTATGAGATATTCTGATCCATTCATTCTGGTCCAAGTGCTTGAAACAGAATACTACTTAAGAATCACCATTGAATCTTAGAACAATCACATTAGATTAATAAACTGTGCTGAACTATAGTATATGTTTGGAAATTAAGGAAACAGAATGGTGCTTTTTAAAGCTTGGTTTCCCCGCTCACCACATCCAGGACTAATTGGTAGACAGCAATAGAAAAAAATGCAGTGGTGACTTACCCACGCATAACAACAATTGTGATTCCACTGGCACTTTGTTCCAGCGAAATTGGTGTGCGATTACAAAAGGATGGTGCCCTGTATAAACAGCAACAGGAGTCACAACTGCATAATACTACTTCTCAGGGAACTGGCTAATCCGGGTTACAGCTGTAGGGTTCAGGCTCAAGTTCTCAGAAATAAAGGAAGTAACAAAAACTGTAAAAATGGCCCTATGAAGCCTTTAGTCAGGAAAATATGGAATGTTTCCAGTAGCGACGGAATTAGCAATATGAACCACAGTTCTCTTTCCTAGTTTAACTCAAAATCTTTCCTCACACAGGATTAAACCTGAAAAGAAAAACTATTTCACCCATGTTTAAAATGCCCTACGGAAAGATGTGATCAGGCTTCACATGGGCCTTACCTCTGCAAAAGCCAGGATTCTCACCTCTCAAGCCAGGAAAGGTCAGGGCCCATGACATAGAGGTGAGGGGGCACGGTTGTAGTGATCCAGTGTGTCCGATAAAATGGGCAATGAAGCATATCAGATTATATTCATAGCAAAAAGTGGATCGGGGTATAAGTGAAAGAATGATTTTTTTAACTGGGGATGGTATAAAAGCAACATCATAAGGATAGGCAATAAAAAGTGGCTATTGTGATAGGATTTGTGTTAAATGTGGTTAGGGGAAGGTGAGGAACAGCCCTAAGTCTTTCAAAGCCAAAATACAAAGTGAAGAAATGAGAGTTGCTAGCTGCTTAATCAGTTATGGAGCCTTAACTTAATTCAAGGGCTACAACCAGGGGTGGGATTCTACTGGTTCGGCTCTGTAGAACCAGTAGCTCTGAAGAGCAGCAGACACAGAACTGGTTCTGTGTCTGCTGCTGTTTTGGCCCACCCACCCACCTGGGCTCTTACCTGTGTTTTATTTCCTGCCTTTTCAACCTCAGCTGCTTTGCATGGCAAAGCTGCAGTTGAAAAAGCAGAGAAAAAGTGCTTTTTCAAATCCTGCGCACAGTGCTGCTAAGCTGTCTGGGCAGCACAGCTTACGATGTGCGTGCAGCGCGTGTAACTGTAAATCACCGAACTGGTAGTTACACTGGTTGAATCTCACTCCTGGCTACAACGCTACATAACAGAAACCAGCCACCCTATTACACCAGTTGGATTCATTTTGAATCCTTTCAGATTTTCATGTTACCCACTTTGTTTGTTTGTACAATTTCAAGTAAAGCATTCATCTCTAACAGAAATGATAGAACTAACAATTTATACAGGCCATGGGCATTTTGAAGCAATGATCTGGAAGGTAGTACTCTGTCCAGTTATAAAATATTATTGGATAAATCTAAGAAAATAAACTTATTGATCATTATTTGCTAGGAATGTGCATAAAATAGCAAATACATTTTGTTTTGAGCCTGAAAGAAACCATCAGTTTTCTGAAATTCTGAACCATTTTGATTGGCTGACATTTAACAGAAACAAAACATGGAATGTTTTAATTCTGGAGTTTAGCCAAAATAAAATCTTCAGAGATTAAAGAGTGATTTTTATAGAGCAAGTGGACATCAATCCTTCAAGCCAGTCCAGACAAGATGCACAAAGTGTGAAAACTAACAGTATTTTTATTGTAAGTTTACAATAATAGCACCTTGCATATGTGAGGGCATTTTTCCCTTTCTTTTTTCTTTCCAGAAAACTGAGATGTTTCCTGCTTTCCTTCTGAGAACTAAGATATTATTTGCATGATGGTTGTTTAAGCTGCAGCTTTTCCTCCTGCCTCATTCCCACGTACCATGATATCTGGATAGAACTGGAACACACTCTCTCTTCTCTTTCACGTGGCCTATGTGCTGGCCTCCTGGCTCCCACTTCCTTCTAGCACTTACTTTGAGCCACTACCACCAATGTCTCAGCATGGCATCTCCCAGTGGTTCACCTGTCCCCTGATCTTCCTAGTGTTCTCCTTTCCTTGCCTCTCTATAGAGCCACCGTTCTCATTACCAATGTCTGCACATGTAGTCACCAAGTTTTGATAAAAAAAAAAAAAGCCCTCCTCACCTACTTTTGGCTGGTACATCATATTGCAGCCGAAATGAAAATAAAAAAGAAAATTGTTTTGTTCTCTGGAGCCAGACAGCCAAAATGTGTATCTTGCTGCAGTTTGGCAGGACCACACAAGTCTGCTGACCTGTTTAAGGAACCGTGTGTGCATGTAATGTTATTATTAACCCTGTTTGTTTAACAGCTCTACTATATGACAGTGAACACAGAAAAAACAAACAAACCACAGCTGCCTTAGTGTTGTTTTTCTTCTGAAGGACTGTTCCCACATGCGCGATAAAATAATCTGTAAAATGTTCATCTGAAGGTAAAATTGTAAAGGAAGTTTATAAAATGGCTTATTCTCATCTAAGGAGTTAAATCAACTTTGCCTTCTAGTTTTATAACTGAAAAGTCAGATGATGATGATGATGATGATGATGATGATGATGATGATTACTACCGCCTATTCACCCATGGCGACTTGAGGTGGCTTATAGAATGTAAAACCATATTTAAAACAAACAAACAATAAAAACTAACAAAAAGAATCAAGTAAATTAATAAAGTACAATAGAACAAAATCTGGAGGGAAAAATCAGCCCCCCCAACTCCCACCCACTCTAGCAGATCACAAGAGCCATTTACAAGTAAGAAATTAAATGCTATCTCTATCTTATCACTTCTACCCAACTTAGTTTTGTTAATTGTCTGTTTCCTTCTGATGGCTATTTGTTAATCCACTGATTTATTCATTTAACATTATAGTATTGAGGATAGCAGATTGTCACTATAATCTTCCAGCTTTTTCTCAAAATTTTTATAGTATTTACATATCACTAGTTGAATTAAATAATCTTCTAATGGTTTTTAGTATAATTAAAATTCTGTAAATATTGTTTCTGGGAATCTTTGGTTTGAGGTATACTGAATGATGTTTCAAGAAAATTAAAAGATGTTCTGCCAATTGTTAGTCAGAATAAATTCTACATTCTGTAAGCTGGCAGCGCCCTCTGGTGTCAAACTATAGCAAACAACAGACATCAGGCGATACAGGTGGATAATTCAGGTATCAAGATGTGTCTATGTGTGTGATGAGCTTATGATCACATTCATTAAGAAATGAGAAAGACAGTCCAACTCATAATAGATAACACAATGCATATAATTAAGTCATTTTTATTTGTTTTCTCTATCACCCTGCCTTTTCACAGGAGCCTTCAAGATAGCTTCCAATATAAAACTTGTAATAATAACAAAGTTAACATCTAAATGTGACTGACCTGAAACAAGTTAGAGTGAGAATATGCCAATTAACTACAAACAAAAACTGATGTATAAAAATACAATTTAATGATGTCTAAACAGATTAATAATGGCCTGTAAATATTTCATCATTAATAAAGCCAACATTCTCCGGTCTCTATCATGTTCCATCAACCATAAATCCCTCAGAAGAAAGTTATTGCAAGCAGGATTATTTCCTAAGAAAGTCCTTACTTCCAAACAAATCTGTTCTTTAAACAAATTCTGTATTTTTCATCTGGAACCCAGAAAAACATGTATTTATTTCTGATGACCTGGTTGGAATTTGGTCCTAGTGCTTGATGGATTCTTTGGCTTATGGTGATCTGTGGGTGGATATGTGCTTCCTGATCTTCTGGTCTCTAGTTCTAAGATGAACATAGCCTGCACCACATCCAGTGGCTTATCCCAATTCTCTGACAAGCATTCCGCTAGTCAGTGGGTTGTATGATATCATCACTGAAAGTGAAAGTATTTGGGGGCACTTTCTGAAATTGAAACTATTCCTTCATCTATATTATTTTTGATTTATTGCAGAAGAAACAGGACATTGAATTGAATATGAACAATACTTTTCCTTAAGATTTAGAATCCTCCAAAGTTATATGAACACTTATATATGATTTGTTCCTCCTTTATCTAAGTGTCTTCCCAAAATTAAAACCACTTTCTAAATTTTTAAAAACTGTGAGGAAAAAATCCTTCAAAAGTTAGTTATTGGAAGGATAAAACAAACACATTCATTGGCCCAAAATGGAAGCCTTTTAACAGTATATTCTGATCTTTAGTTTTGTAAGTATGGGTCTACTGAGAAGTCACATTTTTGACTACCACTCTACTTTAGATGTGTAAAATACAGTATAGGTTCATAGTACTTTTATGTTTAAAGACATACTTTATACAGACTTCCATCAGAAGAACAGAAATATTTATTAGCTAAGAAAATTTCAAATAATTATTGTTTAATTGTTTTGTGTGTTTTTTGTGTTCCCTTTCTTTAGCAACTTTCTATGAAAATATCTTTACAGAACCATCCAACAGGAATAAGAAAAGTTTGGAGAAACGTAATTTACTTGTTTCTGATTAGTAAACTTCAGATTACTAATTTACAGCAGAATTCTTTCAGTGTGAAATTCCAATTTTCTAAAGTCTTTCAGTGAAGTGTTGCAGTAATTTCTGACAAGCTCTTCCAGCAGGAGAGCTAGAAATTTAAAGGTGGGATAGATCTAATAAATCTCATTTACCATCAGAATTATCATGTTATTATTTTTCTAATTTTCTTCTAGCCCACAGACACATCGATTTGTCTTTCTATTCTGATGTTTTAGATTTTTTGAATAATCTAGGTACCTTAGAATATCTTTTTATTTATTCTATGTCATTTTCTATCATTGATTTGTCAGTTTTGTTTTATAGACCACCCTGTAGCAAATCCAGACTTTTCTAGCAACTTGTTAGATCAGAGAAGCACTTTAAACCAGATTTTTGGGTTAGTGCCCTAAATATTCTAAGGAATAGTGAGACATTTCAATTACTTTTATTTTTAATTGAGATTTAATTTTTCAACCTCTCCAAATAATTTATGATGTTCTTGTTTCATTCTCTAGTAAATTCAAAGAGAAAATATCTGTAAGCATATCTGAAGCAGAATTGATATTCAGCAGGTTCTGACCAGTTCTGGAGAACCGGTAGCAGAAATTTTGAGTAGTTCAGAGAACCAACAAATACCACCTCTGACTGGAGATTTTACAGTAGCCTTCCCCTGCCTACCAAGCCACGCCCACAGAACCGGTAGTAAAAAAATTTGAGTCCCACTGAAGCATTTTCTAATGTAACTGAGATTTATAGAGTTCTTTTGTAAATGATCAATATTTCTTCAACTGCACTACCCGGAGAAAAAAAAAAGGATAGTACTTCTTAGAAATATATAATGAAAATAAACATTCCATCTCCTGCACATCTCTTGCACTTAATAAAAGGGTAAGTTAATGTGGACGAAAGAAACCTGAAGATACACCTCACCAGTAAAGTTCAAGAACATTACAATATTCTTACTAAGTAGGCTAAATCCTGTATGTGTTTTTGAATGTACAAACATGTTTTATTTTGATCAGGAATCCAGGGATGAAACTGAAAAACTTATGGATTTTGATACACTACTCTGGGCCAGATTTTGGGGAACATGGTCACTTAAAGGGACAGGGGAAATAGAAAAAAATATTGAGAAATGCTGCATTGAATCATAAGCCTTTTGTGGATGAACGATTTTTCACTCATGGGACACAAATTGTAGTTTAAACCATAAGTGACCTGAAAAAAATATTAATTAGATTTTTCTGAGAAATGTCTATGATACAGATGTTTCCCATTGTAAATATTTTACGGTGCTTATGCATACTTATTTGGAAATTGAACCTCTGTAGGAAAAATGGCAAAATTTGTACTATTTATGTCTTTTCTATTTTTTCCTCTTGCACCTTCTTTTACTTTGTATTTGTTTTTACTTTTATAATTATAATATTTAATAAGAAAAAACTTTAAAAAAGAGCAAATAAATCTTATCAATATTAAATTGATTGTATTTCTTAGGATGTTTAAGATACAAAATAAAAATGGAAATGAATCATTTTAGATTGTATTATGTCATTAATCACACTGGTCTTTATTAGCAACATTTTCCACTGAGTGTGCTGAGGATGTTTCCTTTCTTAAATTTCAGCGATAAAATTCCAAATTAACAAAAATAAATTACTTTGATCTTGAGTAAACATCAGCAGCTCTTCAGATTCCTTCACTCTATCCATTTTAAAGTTTTGCATTATTTGATATACAACCATTAACTCAATATTTGATGCTTTCCAGTTAATATGCTATTTAATCATGCTCACAAACTAGTAAATTAGAAATTATTTCCAAGAACTGAACTCTGCTCTGAGTCATATCCCCCTTTCTGTACCAGACTTCAGACTTTGACGTATATATTCATAAACATGTGTTTATTCTTTTATAACTGCAGCTCATTTTAAAGCCCAGCTAAATGCTGTCTTTTGCTGCTCCTGACAAAGTTGGGTAGCATTGGACCTGCTTAGGTGCAGGATCATCAGAAAATATCAGAACTGTGACCTAGACTGGAAAGTCAAGTAATATCTTGAAAAAAACAGATCAGTAATTGCTGCTGTATTATTGCAAAGAAAACTATATGGAAACATCTCTGAAGTCACCATGAGTTAGGATGAACTAATTTTGAGTTTGTACTTTTGCCACTTTTGTTTAAAGTATGTTAATTCCTAGGGCACTCAATAGTAATTTGAATTACTTGTGCATATTGCATGTACTCAATTTCATTAAGTGTAGCTTCAACTCTAATATATAACAAGCCAGAATCTATTTATCCAGAACAAAGATCTATTGAGTTTAATAGGTCTAATTTTTTATAGTGTTATCCTGTATTCACAGAAGTGATGTTTTATTCTATGAGGTTGAATTTTAAGGCAAAAATGTCAGGTGATCTTTCCCAGTATTGTGTATTTTACACATGTTGGCAATACAACCCCCTGAATATCCAGCCAGAGTAGGAAATTATGGCCTTAGTATTTTCAGTAGAGTTATTTTATATTTGTCTTTGAATATTTATTTATTTATTTATTTATTTTGATTTGTCAATCGGTTACAAGTTAATAGGTATAAGTATATACATAGTTATGAACACATGAAATGAGTACATATAAGAAAAATAAAAGAAACAATAGGACAGGGAAGGTAGGCACATTGGTGCGCTTATGCATGCCCGCTACAGACCTCTTAGGAAAGGGGTGAGGTCAATAGTAGACAGTCTAAGGTTAAAGTTTTTGGGGTTTGGGGAAGAAACCACAGAGTCAGGTAGAATATTCCAGACATTGACCACTCTGTTGCTGAAGTCGTATTTCCTGCAATCAAGTTTGGTGTGGTTAAATTTGAATTTGTATCTATTGTGTGCTCTTGTGTTGTTATGGTTGAAGCTGAAGTATTCATTGACAAGTAGGTCATTGCAATGTATGATTTTATATACCATACTTAGATCAGACTGAAGACGGCGTAATTCAAGGTTTTCTAGGTCTAGAATTTCAAGTCTGGTGGCATAAGGTATTCTACAACGAGTAGAGGAATGGAGAACTCTTCTTGTGAAATATTTCTGGACTTTCTCAACTGTGCTGATACCAGATACATAATGTGGGTTCCAGACTGATGAGCTGTATTCGAGTATTGGTCTAGCAAATGTTTTGTATGCTCTAGTTAGTAGTGTGATATTACCAGAGAAAAAGCTACGTAGGATTAGGTTAACAACTCTTAATGCCTTTTTGGCTATGTAGTTACAGTGGGCTCTAGCACTTAGATCATTAGAGATGAGTATTCCAAGGTCCTTTACAGAGCTTGGATCATCAACAAGGTCTTGACTATTCAGCCTGTATTTTATTTTCTGATTTTTTTTGCCAATATGTAAGACAGAGCATTTATCTGTTGAGATTTTAAGTTGCCATTTGATTGACCATTCTGATACATAATCAAGGTCTTTTTGTAGGGTAGCAGTATTGTCTGTGGTATTGAACAGCTTTACATCATCAGTGAAGAGAATGCAGTTGCTCTTAATATGATCACAGAGGTCATTTATGTAGAGTATGAAGAGTTTGTCCTAGAACACTGCCTTGGGGGACACTACTATTGACAGGTACAGAATTTAATATGACACTCCCAATTTTGACCATTTGTTGTCTGTTGACAGGAATGCTTCTATCCAGTTATGCAGTTGTCCAGGGATACCATAAGATTTTAGTTTTAGGAGTAGTTTGTCGTGTACCATTGAATCAAAGGCTTTACAGAAGTCTATGTAGATTGCGTCTATTGTTTTGCCCTGATCGAGTTGTGTAGTCCATATGTTTTTGCAGTGTAAGAGTTGCAGATTACATTTGTTACCTGTTTGTAAATAATTGTTTTAATATGTTATAATCTGGAATTCAACTTGTATTATGTCGAGTCACAGTGATTTGCAAGAAATGGAAAACCATTAAATAATATATAGTAGATATCGACTGCATATCAAATACCACCTAATTCTTCTGCATGAGGACAACAGCAGTTTACTGAAGGAAAATTAAAATCTAAAAAAAAAATATTGGGAGTGATAATTGGTAATGATATCAATTGATGTTGATAATTGATAATGATATCAATTGATATCATTTTGATTATCAAAATGATAATTCTGATGGTAATATCTTGCCACCAGTGCAATGATCCATCCTCTTATTTAAATGAACATACATCACATGTAGTTTGGCCCAACTGACTTAGGACACAACCCGTTGACTATGACACAAATATGCCCCATTCAGCATTTTCAAAGTACATGTTCACATGATGCCATCTTTGTCTTCCTTATGGCAACAGTAAAGAGCTGCTTTCCAGTGCAGGAACTAGCAGAACACATGCTGACTTAGAGAAGTGTTAAGTATACTTCCCACCTCTATTCTGCTTTGCCAATGAAGCATGGGATGAGAAGACTTATTTTGGTATCATTTATAAGCAATGGAAGATCCATCAATCTTCTAGTGTCAATGCTCAGATCTTACGAAGTAATTACTTTGTGGGATCAGAGAAATGGGACTAAAAAAGAACTTATCTGCTCCTCTCTCTATATCCTGCCATTTATAACAAAAGAAAGAATACTGATCCCCCTTCTTTCTCCAATTCACTTACTAAGAATTCTGGGGAGGGCTGATTATTCACTTCCATCCAAGGAAGCGGGAAGCAGTTCTTCACACATTCCCACACCCTTACTTCACTCTTTTAACCATGTAATGTTTCCTCATCAATTGATCCTAAGTATTTCAAGCCTTCACTTAAATTAAAAATGAAGCAATACTTAAAATAATGCAATCTGGAAATGGCTTGCTTGATAATGATCTGTTTATATTTCCAGATTTCTGTTGACTATTGTGCTGCTTTAAATTTACTAGTCATATAGCCATTTTTCTTGTCCATATTTTGTATATTTGTGTATGTATGTGTATTGCTATGACTATCAGAATAAGTATGAAAATTATTTAAGAAAATTTTTCCACATTTAATCTTGTCACAATAGGAAGAGAGATCTGATTGGAATGTTGGGTAGAAAATTTGGATTAGAGACTGATCAATCACCAAAATGATAGTAGCAACAACAACTGACTATTATGGACTGCTATTTAAAAGGAAAGTCTATCAAATAATTATAAAGTAACAATAAATAACCAGAAAATGAAAGAACTATAATTGTGGCTATCTACTAGTTTGAGATATTGTTATTGCAACTTCATTAACCAATAAAAATAATCTGAGTTTTGGCTCATTTCCAAAGAAAATGCTTTATTCTTGATAAATCATGCAGTTAGAGAGCCATAAAGATACAGGTAGCTAATATATAGTTCATGATTTGGCCTACTTTGTATTTTTGAACTTCCTATTTAGTTAACAGAAGCAAAGGCTGTAACTGTATCTGTAACCTAGTATAAAATAAAGAAGATTGGATCAAATATTAAGCATTCAAATACACACACACACACACACACACATACACATTTTCATTTGGATTTTGGGTAAAATGGAAGAATTGTCCCTTTTTCTTAAAGCCAACTCCAATAAAAGGGCAAAAAGGTTAAGAATACAGTGTAGAATACCCAGAACATGGACACAGAGAGCCTAATATATTTATTCGTCTGTATTATTCCTATTGAGCAATTAGGTAGATTGCTAAATATTTAAATTTAAAAAAGCTACTGTTTAGCTTTGATAAGAAAATGAAAATGAAATACAATCCTCCCCTTTCCTTTTACTGTCATCCTTCCCTTTCTGTTGCCTAAGAGAGTTAGTCACATTAACTGTGATTGACCAAAGTTGCACTAAGGGCAGCAGTCCATCAACCATAAGTATTTCCATAAGAAATAGCATATTTAGACGACAGGATTTTAATCTCCAAGTACTTTAAAATCATGTCACAGAACTGTGAGAATTGACATTAACTGATTTAGATTTAGCTATGATGGCTTTTCACGTTGTTACCATTCAAATGTTTGCAAATATACATAGCAAAGAGTTAGGAAAAATGCTTTTGTCAGGAAGCACAAAATATAGACTAATTAAGTAAGTAGTCTCGTCCAAACTTACAGATATCCATTTGCCCAATTAATTTATTTAATAATTCTCCATTAGATATGGGTAATAAAAGTATCTGAGCACAGAGAATTCCTACCACGAACCATTACTATTACATGATTGATTATAGTATCTCTCCCCCACCTTCCCATTTTACAAAATAAAAATTGCATATGGCCTAGCTAGCAGGTGCACAACTGGGCATGGAGGGAAAAGGAAATGAAAAGGAAAAATTAAAAATGAAGAAAGAAGCCTTGTCAGCTGTGGTGTCAGAATGCCCTGAAATCATGAAGAACAATCTGGAACTCTGTTTCACCCTTTCTTTTTTAAGCCTTCCACACCTGTGATTATGCTATTTTGGCTCTTAAGTTATTTCTTTTGGCACCAGAAGCAGGATGTAGGTAAAATAAAATGGATATACCAAATTGGAATCCTTCTATTATTTATCTTTCTTCTGAGAAATTTTTTTCCCTTACATTTATTTAGCTCCCATCAACACACATGAATTTAATTTAGAGGTTGTTTGGACATTGTTTACATCATCCACACAGCCATATTTTCATATTCTCATAACTGCATTAATGCAAAAATCTGCATAGCATGACTGATCTTTTAAAACAACCAAGGGGGTTCAGAGACTGGCTTTGAAGTT